TTAAGCACTTATTTTGATGATTTTAAGTTCTTTAAGCCCCGAGCCTTGACTGTATTATGTTAAAAATATATTTTATATTTTAATATTATATCATATAATTTTTGTATGTACATTTTTAGTCTCCCTTACACCAAATATAATTAGAAAAATAATTAAATAKTATGAGATTTTTAAASATTTATTAACATTAAAATATAGACATATTTTTAGATAACAAATAACAACCATAATCCTTATTCCTTGTCAAATAAAATTAAAGAACTGTTAAATGATCACCCACACCAATTATCCACCTCTTCTTCATTTAAAATATATATTAAATTGATTACAGTTAATAGTATTTTGATACTACTAGTAAGCTGGACTAAGTATGTAGCAGAAATTAGCAAAGAGCAATTTTGGATGAGCGCATAAATTCAGACAATTTAAGAAGGTTGTCTAATCTGCTAATCACATACAGAAGTGAAAATTAGAAGTGTGATTAAACTTATTAGCCATCACATAGCCATATATCTTTTAGGGCTGGCTAACCTCAAATTTGGACTGTGTCGGTGGATCATCTTCTACAACTAAACTTGTGGATATATCTGACAAACGAAAAAAACTATTTAGGTGCGAATACTAAACTACATAACGATTTAAATAAAAATACACAACAAAAACTAAAAGCTATATCAAAATATAATTCATATTTTAATTTAATTCTGATCGATTTTAGGTAATTAAAACATAAATATAAAATTACAGAAATGTACTCACTATCAACCGTGATGGTTTCATTAGTAATAACTGTAGTAGAATTTGACGTTTTTACAGTGGTTGTAGTAGTAGATGACAATTCATGTTTAGTGACCGTTTTCTGATGATTATTAACATCAAGATTATTTGATGTTGATGTGACATTTAGATTAGTATTTGAACTATAAATAATCATAAATATTAAATAATTAATATATTTAAACAAGCACATATGATAGAATTTATATATTACAATATTTCCTTACCTTCCCAAATGGTCTTTGATGGAGTCTATGGTAATATCACCGACTGAGAGATCATTGCTATTGTTTAATTGTGAATTACTATCACAATTTTCTTGAGTACCATTTGTTAATCCTACAATATAAAAAAAAAAGTGCGTAAGTGGATGTCACTCTGCTGTAYASTAGGTTACAAGAGGATCACTATAATGGATGATATTAAATTTGAATTCAATAATATATCATTGTATAATTCTCCAGTTGTAAAAATTGTCTAGTTGACAACTAGTAAACTATTCAGATATAGGGCTATTTATAGACAATACAAAAGGTTTGTGGACATTCATTAAGTGTTTACTAACAAATTAAAATTTACACAGCTGAAATGAAAAAACTAGATGATATAACATTAATTAAATGTACCTACATTTACAGTATACTCTATGTATGATAARCTAGATAATATTTGATTTAGATTTTGGTAATTTTTTACATTTATAATGTTTATACCCAACAACAATGATTTTCTGGTATGTGATAATAAATAGTAATATCAAACAAAAAAAGCAGCTGAGGGGGTAATGCTCTACTAGGTTGCAAGTGGCCAAATGGGTAACTGTAATAGATATTATATGGTGTTAAATTTGAATTCAATATAATATCATTGTAGATGAAAAATGATTTTGAGTGGAGACGGTTGTACCTAGGATATTTTATATTATTTACATATTATCATACTGGTGCATAATAATATACTTTAAAAGTTTTAAGTACCCACAAATAATATTTATCAAATCYAACAATATAACTAAAATTGTTATGCTTAATTACTTAASATGTAATTTTGTCCAAATTTGAACTAAAAATAACAATACAAAAGACTGTGTTTTATAGAATGGACTAATTATCGTTAAGATAGATATTGTATGACAGATGTTTTTTTTWTAATACATACCATTTACTTTTGGAAAATCGTCTTGTTCGTCATCWGTGTAACCATTAATAGGGGTAATAGAACGACTATTTGATGGACGATCTCTAGTAGGTAAATTCAAAGAACAATCAACTTGAGTGACACTAGTAGCAGATACTGAAATTCGTTGCAGTTCACTACTTGAATGTAAATATAAAGCTTCACCATAAYGGGTGAATGCTAAACTTGAAATACCRCTATAAACMGAATATGTAATTAGTTTGAATACGCACTAATATAATTATTGAGCAATATACTTAATATCTTCTCTACGAATAACTGCAGCATGTATTTGTCTTCGAAGATCTGGTACACTAAGTACTATTACTTCACCTAAATTAGTTAAACAAAGAAGACAGCTTTCTGCATAATCACTTGTCTTAAAATAGGCCATTGACATTCGGCGAACTCGTGCACCTTCAGCTGCAGTTAGTTTAAGTTTGCATACAGGTTTTAAATTAGGCAAGGAAAATATCTAAAACAATAGATCAAACAAATTAAAACTATATTTAATGRTTATTTGTCATACATAGTATATATATATCCATATTTAAAAATATTACCTTAAATTGTTCTTCCGATGCAATAATGACTTTGTGAGGACCACATATATCTAAAGGTTTACCCGGAGTGCTATTTTCTTGAACTTCAGTGACTGAACGATTGTCTGCATCAATCACAGTTATCCCAATAACAGGTGCACGATGTTTTAACTGAACTTCTTTTCCTAGTTGTGCAGTGACTCTTCTTTCTTTTCGTTTATCATTTGGAGGTATACTAATAGTAAAAATATACACAGAACCATTGTTGGTACCAGCCCACATTGTTGGAGTAATATGTGAAGCTAAATTAGTAAATAATAAATATGTTAAAATGTTTGTCCATAATAATTGAAAATTGGACTTATTATTTAAATAAATTACCTGTAACAATAAATGTTTTTGTAAAACTCAAACAACGAACCATACTTCCCAATGCATCATCAACTGGTCTGGCTTCAATTGCTCGTTCAACAGGTCGTGCTTCCATTGGAGATATTGGTCCAGTACTAAATTATTATTATTATTATTTTTTTTTTTTGATATAACTTATAATAATTATATAATTATATATTATATATTATTATAATAACTTATAATAAATGTATTTCATATAACATAAAATTAAAAGTACAAACTTTTCTCGTTTTTTGTCCGGTGTAATGCTTGTTCCTCTTTTATCATTTACTATTCTGGTAGAATTTCTTCCTTTTCGCAGTCTTCTAAATGACTCCCTTAATGACTTTTTAAACGATTTTCTCCTAGAAATAGGAGTATCTCCAGCAGTGGACAAATCTAAATTTAAAAACATAAAACAAAAACTATTATATTTTATGACACACAGTATATGTTCAATATGTGCCACCAAGACGATCAACTAATTAAGTACAGACAATGTTTTGATACGGATCTATTAACAAGCATAATACATTGTTTTAAATTATTTCAAATGATACACAATAAGTGATAAGCTTAACATTTCTTTTTAAGAGGACGCCACATCCACATGTGTGTTGTTTCCGTCTTACATGTGCGTAACATCAGTATTTAAAGATATACAAACAATTTACAATTTTAWAAATACTCATAACTCACTTTAAAATTAAAATACAATAAGAATATAACCTAGATAATAATGTTACCTTTAATTTTTATAAGAGGTCAATTCAATTTAAATTTCAAACTAATGGAGCTAAATTGGAACAACTGAGCGTACAATTTGCTGTTACACACTTTTAAGACAAAAACAACACATGCAGGTGTGGCATCTCTTAAAATAAAACAAAAATTGGTATAGTGAAATAATTTTTTGAATAATCTTTATATATTGCTATAATAAGTACCTAATCAATATCCAAATATTTTTTTAAAACTTATTTTGACATTATTAAATGTAATACTATATCTCTTTATATTTGTATTACTAATTAATTAAAAACATACTTCTATGATTTTTAATTTGACAAAAAATATTAAACCAATACTAATTACAGTAGGTCATTCAATAAACAAATACCTACAACACATTTAAAGTATATATTTACTTAGGTATGGTATATAATACATAATAATTATTACCATTGGGATTTAAAGTGCATTTTGTTAAAACAGGAGCTTGTCGATAATAGTCATAAAGTACTAAGCCATGAGCAGTACCAGCAGCAACCAAAGACCAATTGGAATGTAAAGCAACAGCTGTAATTGATGCAGGAGGGTATACTTGTAAAACAGATGAAGGTTGAAATCCAGCTTTAAATGTAAGACAAGTCATGTTTTTTCCATTATTATTATTAGCTTCATCTCCAGTCTGTTTTAAACTTAAACGTTCATGACCTTTCCACACAAAACTTTCCCCAACGACATTCATTTGAACAGCCTGGATAACAAAATATTAATTYATTTTCAATAAAATACAACTGAAAATATTTACCTTTATTTCATTAGAAGATGGCTGATCATTAAATTTGGCAATTATAACATGGCCAGCTGTACCAGCAACAATCATTGTTGCAGTTCGAGGACAAAGAATAACTTTTTTAATTGCTAATCGAGGATCATCAGAATAAGGATCAAAATTTCCAACTTTCCTAAATGGTGGCCACTCTTCTTCATCTTCTTCTGGAGCTACACTATTACTGGAACGGTTATCTGCATCATCACCAACTAACACCCATGATGATTTAAATACATGTATTGGTAATAATGGAGTTGAATTTGCAACCCACAATTTTACAGAACCATCTTCATGGCCAGTTATTAAAAGATCTCTACTTTGTTCATCTTCAATATTTGCTTCGCCGCCATCTACTGGCCATTCCTAACAATATTAATTTTAAATGTTATTCAACATAAGTAAATATTTGATGATAAAATAATAAATAAAATTTTAAATATTGACTAAAACTGTTAAAAATGAATTTAGACTGACATTTGAAGAAAAGTTATTCTCATTTTGTAAGTTTCCAACAGCAATTAAATTGTTCCAAAGATCTTCATTTAAATCAGAAACAAAAGTAGTAAACGTGATAGCGCTTGCATGGATAGAAACTAGATAAGGTAATTGAACTAATGGCCAATCTTCAGTAGATAAATCAATACAGACTATTTCTTCTTCAGCCAGAATWATAAGGAAGCTACAGCCTAAAATAAATGTTAACATTTAATTTATAATTAAAAAAGTTAAACTGATTTTAGAGTTTTTTTATAGTACTCTTGCAATTACCTTTTTCATCGACTGAAGCAGTAGTTGTGAAAAAATCAATAACTTTTGAAGTAAGCTCAAAAGCTACATGTTTAGAAATTCCCAATCGAACAGTAACTGCATGGCGATCACCATAGCATGCCCGTGGCATACCACCAGAAAATATTAGTAATTGTTCRCTAATAAAAWATAAATCATTAATATTAAATTATAATAATTTTAATTAATTTATATACTTGAGGTCTTGAGCAGATTGTTGGCAAACTATTTTAGTAATGGGTTTGCACGGAAATGGGCCATAAATTGTCTTTGTATTTTCATTTTCATCAGATGTTTCACTTATTTTCCAAAGTGTTACAGATCCATCATTATGAGAGGAATAAAAACTTTCCCCATTTTCTTCCCAACATACACTTTCTACTTGTTGACTACTTACAAATGTCTAAAAAAAAAAAAAGTAGAAAAGGAACAAATAAATAATATACCTATTATATTGTATAATGTTAGTACGTAAACATAAAATCTTAATTTAGTTTTCGTGATACATACTAATTTAATATAGAACTAATAAAATTAAGTATATTTTCTTACTTTTAYAGCAACTGCATTTAAGCGATCCCATAAAACAATTAGTCCTCGACTATAGGCTATCAAAATATGATTTGGATTTCCTGGTTGTTCTGCTATTACTTCAACTGCACCAGGATTCTTTTTATACTCATCTGAAACTCTAAACACAATTTATAATAAAACATAATAACATTTTAAATATGCTAATAGTTCATTTTACATACTTCTGCATMACTACATCTTGGTAAATTATATTATCTGACAATTCAAATGTTGACAAATCAATAAAAAATATATTTCCTCCTTCAGTTCCAAGTAATAAGTTTTCACAACTAGATTCCAAGCATATAGATGATATTTGTTTAAGCCTACAAACCATTTCATATTTAAATTATCAATTGAATTAATTTAAAAAATGAAAACAATTTCAACACCCACTTTCCCTCTAATAAGTATGATTGAACTTCATCAATGGCCGTGTCATTTATTTCCCAGTAATGAAGACTATTATCATCTGACAATGACACCAAACGACCCTGAATAAATTGTTTTATATCATATTCATTATCATTTTTATTTAATTTAATAATCTTAATATCAAAATATTTGTAGAATAGTTACTTGGTTTGGTACAAATATTAACTTTGTAATTGCATGATCGGAACATGGTAAATGACCATAGAATTCAACACCAGTCTTACCCAACCTATGTACATTTTGTTAAGAAAAATATGTTTGAAAGGATTGCATTTTATATCATTTATAAAAGTACAATGATACCCGCATYGTATAAAAATGTAAATTATACTAAACTCAAATTTATTCATTGGGTATAAAGTAYATTATAATAYACAAAAATTGTGTGTGTAATTTGGTGCTCTAAGACAGTRTTTCTCAACCTTTTTGATACCACGGAACACCAAATAATGATATTTTTTTCATGCGGAACCCCTTTRAAAATTATYTTTAGAGTACMRGCCGCCAGCGGTCTCTCTCTCTTGCGATTTTAAGCTTTTGCGGAAGCCTAGTTAAGAACCACTGCTCTAAGACATAAGTAAATGGCAAGKTTTCAGAATTAATTAAGACATTTAAGWAAAAGGATACACTTTAATTGATCCAGTTGAAGTTCCAATTGCCATAATACGTAATAATGGGTCCCATGAAAGAGCTGTTGGTTTATTTGGAAACCCATACTGTAGAGTCTGAAATATAAATTATATATAGTTAATGTTAATTTAAAATAATAGTTTAATAATGACTGAATTCAAATTGTTATATTTCTGTCATWAAATGTTTATTATTGGTTTAAAATAATTTTAACATTTTGAGAATAGTTAGTAATGAATCAATCTTAAAATAATGTTCAGTTTAAYATCACCATTCGGGATTCAACATAGTTAATTATCAGTAAAAATTAGGCATTGAAAATAGATAATAACGAGTTTACACAAAGCACATTGCTTATTGTTAAGTACTAAACAAACTTCAAAAAATTGAAATAGTCAGTAGTGTAATAATTACCCTCCTGAAGGCAAACAAGTCTTTTTGTATCTTCTGCCTCTCAACTGAGGGCTGTTGGCCTTTGCCTCGGATGAATTTGAGCATATTGGTAACGGACAATGGTACTTCCTTGATCCTAAGCAAAAGAAGGGATGATATATTGATATGTCAAAAACACTGTTGGTGACGTCTGTCGACGGGTACATGGAATAAATACCAGATGTTTGGTGAACTTACCCTGTATTCTGTCGCCGGGGTTCGCTATCAATGAGTTCAACAATACCTATACACTGGCATCGTCGGGAAACATGAATTTTTAGCAGTCACCAAGACCGTCAACAAATTGCACCGCTACAACAGTGAACAGACTTCTGTCACTACAACTGCTGATGTCGGTGCTCGGTAGGCCTGTTCAAACACGATTATAATTTATAAGATTACGACTTGGACGATAACAGAATATCGTGCGGCGCGCGCCACTTACACCGTACACGTCGACTGTGTTCAGCTGAAACGAATACCAGGTAACCTGGTACCGATGTACGCGCGCCGGTTGTTCGCTGTCGRTTTTACCTGAGACTGGTCCTCCGCAGTCGTTTCCCGTCCGGACATAATATCAAAAGTCACACAAGTCACAACACAACTACGACTACCGACGACGAGTGCAGCTGCTGTGAGCGAGGCGCGGCTGGTACGRGCGAATCTCGAGAACCGTTTGGTTCCTTCTGACCAGACGACCAGAACTTTACTCTGGAGCCAACGAAATGAAAACACAAAATCGGCGGCTATCAGCTCCCCACCGCAACAGTGCAACACACGGCACACACGCGCAATAATAATTATTGTGTATATTTTGTGACTTGTGTCGTTTTTGTCCACATCTCTCTTTCTCTCTCTCTCTCTCTGTCCGTTTTCTTTATATTATGTGGTTCAACAACCTCCCCACCACGCGTTACAAGGAGGTTGAAGACCCCTGGGCCTGCGTGAGGTGCGACGTTGATTTCTCGACGACGTCCGCCTCCACCTATATGACGTCGTGCGGTTGTAGTGGTCATGGGTATACGGCTAATATTAAAGAGAATTACGCACACGCCCGCGTATATTAATAAATTATACAGACAATAATATTATGTTAATTGGGTTCACTTTATACAAGGTGATTCTTTATGCAAACTGATAACCAAACCTTTTTCCCGGTAAATTGTGTTTTTTTTTTTTTATATATAAAATTTGAAGTCATCACAATGCCTTCACTGACGTTTGTTGTATTTGAAAAAAATTGTATTTCCGTTCAGGCACGTCGTTTAAAGTTGTTTTAGTTTTAATCTTTTAAAACGACGAGAACACATCAATTTATTTTGTTACATGGGTMYCCTGAAACAGAATATCATTCCAGGTAGGTATATTTATAGCTACTGCTGCAGTAGATTTTGACGAAGGCGCATAAGTTGACATTTGTTAGATCCTATTTTTCAATATCTTCTCACCACAATATACATWATACATTCACCCAGAAAATTATTACTATATCGCAAAAGAATCGCTCTGTATATACCTAYGTACTATATTATGTATATTGCCCCGTGTTCGTTCCGCTATGGTTGCTTATACATTATACTATACAGTAACTAACCGTACCGCAGCCGCCAAACAGTCCGGGTCTTGACAAAAATATATAATATATAATAATATGTATACGATTTAGTCGGTTTATATTCATATACACGTATACAGGTATTATAAATAAATATAAATAATATATATATATATGTGTGTATGTGTAACTGTGTGAATATATACGAGGCTATATATTATGTGTATAAAGTATGATATTATTTGTGCGATGTATGGGTACCTATGATGTGTAATGTGTTATATAAAATAATACATATAATAACGTGACGAGTACACACGTATTGCGTTTATAAGACCTCGGACAGGTTGTGATGCGTGTACAAGTATTGTCATTGTGTATAGGCACGATTTTACTGTACCGTCTGTACCTAATATATACCTATATGCTCGATATGGCTGTATATAATATATAATATATATATATGTTTTAACGAATTAGACGAGACCCACGATCACTGGTAAAATATAATAATAGTAAAAATATGTAACAGTGACTGTATAGTGTATACATCTATACCTATATATTGCCTGTTATAATCTATATATAGTACCCCCTCCATTTCAGCATTCGTTACAAGAATATTATTATTTTATTTTTATTTTCATGTTTTACTCTTATTGTATAATAATATATCTAGGTAGTATATACAATATACAGGTAAAGGTATATCCGATAGGTACAATTGTGCCAAATAAGAGTGCATCGTCCAAGTTCGAACAGACGATCTATCGATAGATACTCATAAGAAACCTACTATTTCTGAAATGAACTCCATTATTATAAAAATGATCAGAGTTAAACCTACAATTCTACGAGTAATATACAGTGGTCCGTGACTATAGTTTTATTATTTTAATATTTAGCTACAAAATAATACATGATTATTTATAGTCAATGTAGCCTGTATTGTAGGCGCTCGTAGATATTTAAATATATTTTACTTAATATGCTTGTCGCTTATATTTATTATTCAATACTCTAAAATTTATATATTATAATATATTTATATTGTATTCATCTATAATTTTGAAAACTTACAAAATCAGTAGGAGTAGGTAGATTTATTTTTATTTTTTGAAAATATATAATATTATATTCTGCAGTACCTATTGTTATTATTGTTATTAATAATTACTCGTATGTTCCAATTACACATTATGTCATATTAAATATGGTATTAAATCACTATAGGTAATCTTCAGACGAAATATTTTACGGTTTTAGATATAGGTGGGTACCTAGTTTTGAGCTTTAAGTTTTATAGGTATATCTATGTACAATAGAAATAATTTTAAATTCAAAACTGTGTAGCCATTAAGCCATACGGAATTTAATCAAAACCATTAATTTTCAGCTGTATTTATCCAAATTATTATTTGGTATAACCATTGATTATAAATATATATTTATAATCAATGGTATAACGTATAAATAATAGAAAAAAGTCGTATTACTGACCCCAGGCTTATTAGACCCCACTAAACTCTATCTACCGCAAGTATATACCTTTTGGAATTTAATACACGTACCTACCTACACAATAATAAGCTAAATTTTAAAATGAACTGAAAGAAGCCCAAAGGTTTCATATGTTGATATTTACACGACATAATATTACGGAACAGTTTTATTTGCTTATACGGTATACATTTATACCTCGTTTCATGCACTAYCTTAAAATAGAGAAGCCCTAATCGTCTATATGTTTAATTAGACAATATACGTTGTCTTGGCAAATTGCTATATACATAATTACCATATAACTTATTTGCCTTATTAATATATATAGGTACATATTACATAGTATGTACTATACATATACCTAAATCAATACGTTATGCACATATATAATATGTATACACATTGTATAATATACTTATATACTAACTGTCAAATATCTAATTAAGTATAATATATACTCTATGCATATACTATGGTTTAAAATGTAATACGTACATGTATATTTTGCAAATTTATACCCCATAATATAATTATTATGTAATAGGAAGGTACCTAATACTTACATYAAAAATATTTAATATGTATATCGTATATACGTATATGTGTATTATTACTGTATTGTGTAGGTATTAAGTATTATATTATGTGTGGGTATTGTAATTAGTAATTACTATAATGAGTATGATTTAAATGCAAGTTATCGAAGACTAAATCGGATGAATGTATAATAGATATTGAAATATATGCGATACATATAATTAATTAATTATCCTTTTAATAAAATAC